ATAACCATCCACTCGCATAATTCGTCTGATGCCGGCCTTAATACACACAGAAAGATTATCCGTATAAGCCAAGTTCGTTTCTTAGTCAACGTTCGACGTTTCAAGTGGCCCGATAGGCTAAAAAATGACGACATTCAGAAAAATGCAATTTTTTAAAAAATCATAACATGTAAAGCCCAGTTTGACCACAAATATAGATCAGTTTCAACAAATATGAAAGATAGTTTGTACAAAGCTGTTAAGACATGCGCAACTCGATAATTGTAATTACTTGTGAAAAGCGTTGCCTGAAACACCATCACAGGCTCATTCATTTCCTTTATAAAAAGCAATATTTCCTACAACTGCGGTAACTTTTTTAAAAATACAACAACCATTATACACTCCCCCGATATGCAACCCGCAAACTTGTCCCCTGGGTTTGGTGCAAAATAAGGTTATTTCCAGATAAAAAAAAGCACCGAAAACGAGAGGTAACTGTCAAAGCTTTGGTTGATTGCACAGAACAAAACAGAAACTTACAAGATGTGCTTGTTTGAATGTCAAATCTTGTTTTGTAAAAGAGCAGGAACAGTTGGCGTCAATGCTGCAAATTAAAACCTCAAAAGGGTGTGGCTGGTTGCTATGTTTTTAAGTAAAACCTTCAAAATTTATTTTCTCTTCATGAGTGCAATCAAACGCAATTGGTACCTCTAAGGGGTGAAAAAAAATTCCAAGCCACGCCCACAAAACAGGATCTCACATTAGTACCTCTTGATATTTAGGGGTAGGGGTTCTGTTCAAAATTTCCGATGATTACCCCCGTCCTTTTTATATGGGAGTACCCCACCGGGGGTGGGGTAACACATATTATGACTTCCAGGTCATTCTAGTAATGTAATCATTTATATCAGGAACATCCTGTTTATATAAAGGAAAACATGTCACTGTGATAAACTTTTTAAAAGCCGCTTTGATCACTTGACGTTGTTTTGGTTTGTTTTTCTTTTGTCTGTCAGAGACCTCGCTTATAAAGTTATCCATAACACAACCCGGCCAAACTCCAACATTTGTTTTGGTCATTTAACTCAACAAATGCCTTACAAGATTCTTTAATGTGATAGTGATCAAGACAAATCATAACAGAAAGGAAAAATTGAGAACAGACCTGCAGAGAAGTCAGTTGTTTTAATTTAATATTGAGATTTTTCTTTGTTTCTGATACGCCGATGAGACAAAAATTGTTTACAAGCATTAATCATTTTCAATTAAAAATAGTTATCTATTTTGAAGACTTATTGTGGTCGCCCGAGGCAGTGACAGAGAGTTTTATAACAACGTCATGCTTTACAGAACAAAGCGTTCGACCAATTTCATCTCGTTTCGAGCTTCACCCATAAAGCCGGCTTTTTTGCCTTTCTTTATGATTTAAAACTGCTCGTCTGGGAATTAGGTAAGTAAACATGCTTCTTTTTAACTGTCCTTGTAAACCTAACACTTATCAGATTACTGAGTAAGTCGTTTGAACGAACAGAAAATTAATTATACACATTTAAAAAATTATTTTTAACTAATTCCACGCAATCTTTCAGGTATGCCGTATCGGAAAACATATATTTTGGAAAGAAAGACATTTAAAGGACCCAATTTTTGGGAAAATTTTGTGTCTCAGTTCATGAGGCGTTCTTTCGTCGATCATTTCGTTGGGAACTCATAATTAGGAAAACAATAATTATTCTTAAGGATTAACAATTTGAACAATTCAATGTGCGGTGCTCATAACTCAGTCTGTTGAGCTGCTTTCTTCTTCGCTTGACACAGCCATGCATGGTACCTTGTTAGCAGGTAATTTGCATGATTTTTATGAACTTTTGAACCTCGTTCGACCACGACCACTGCGTAATTACACAAATGCAGCTGAGAATTACGTCGTGAAAGCGTCGCCTCACAATGGTGTCATTACGCACAAGGGATTAAGGCAATACGAAAGCGCTCTCAAGCAAAGTAACTAAGATTATTACATGTAAATTTCCAATCATTTAAAATTGCAAATGAGCCAGAGGTGTTACCAGTCACGAGTATGAAAATCTGTTTACCGGCGAACGCATGACGTCTTTACAACAATTCTAAGAGACGTGGTGTGGTTTTCGACGCCTCAAGCTCTTAGTTCTTCATCTGTGAATGGAAATCAAAACGTTTTTCCTGGTCGCAGTCGCGCGTAGAACTAAGGTATGCTTAAAGTTATTTTGTAATACTTTTGTTTTGTATTGTTTTTTCAACATGGCGGTATCCCGGTTACTAGTGAGGTCAGTAGAAGATTCCACTGTTGAATTAAACCTCAAGAGCAAAGAAAGTCATTTTCAACACGGAAATCAAATTTCGTTTCAAGTTAGCTGAGAACTAAGCTGAGTAACGGTGCTGGTATAGAGTTCATGTCACAATATTTATCTAAACAGTCGACAGCGAGGCAAATCTCTTGTCGAGAACGGTTTTGCTCAGACGCTGTCTCGAAAAGTAAGATACAAATCATTTCATGTTTTGAGACAAACCTTTTCGTTCCCAAGACGATGAAAGAGCCGTTGTAAACTGTTGAAAAGTTGTATTTCAGGCTAAACAAAGCGAAAAATATTTCCCTTGTGAGAGGGTATTAGTTGATAAATATCTTCGTTTCTAAGCTAGCTTGATTCATTTTGGTTTTTTCCAGGAAAACGTATCGATAATATGATTGGTGTTTATCCTGGTGGTCTGAGTTTGATAAGTTGCAACCAGGAAACTTCTAGATAAGCATTCGATATTTCTAGTCGGTTATTTTCCTGTTAGAGAAGATTACATAGCTTATTAAGCAGTGGCGCAATTTCCGGCACTATTTTCCATCCACACAGTGACGAGGAAATGATGTTGATAACTGCGCAAGCGTTCATCCGCGTAATGACCGTATTGAAAATGCACACTGGATGCATTTACAGTGTTTCGCCAAGTTGGTTAAATTCAATCTCGCACTGAAGTAACAACGCAGATTTGAGATCCTTGTTGTTTTCAGCCGAGAAAGCTAGCTTTCACGCCACTTCATGTCCAGCATAAAGTCCAAGAAACTTGAGAATAATATCTGATATGTATTGTACCTGGAATTAAGGTCAACGTTAGTAAAGGGTCATGTATCTTAAATGCGAACGGCAAAATCTTAAAATTTCATATGCCCTCTCACTATTTTCCAACTTTTTGCTTCTTGCTCTCTGAAGTTTGAAGCAATTTTGTTGGGGAAATTTTACAGTCTCGGATTTGAAACACTGAAGGGTACCGTGAACTTTTTAGATAATTTTAAAATTGTGTATAAAGGAGAATGCTGGTAGGAGATAAATGGTTTTGAGATAAATGGAGAAGAAATATAGATCTAATGGAGGCATGAAATCAGAAAGCGTCTTTGCTAAATGATTATAATTTAGATAGAAACCTAAATGGACTGCTAACAGCCCGAAATGCTGTCGCCGGTTAGTAGGTAGCCTTTTCGATGTTTTTTATTTCTATTCCTACCAAAAACTTTCATCCAACTTCGTAAAACAAAAAAATCGCGTCAGGAATCCTCAAAGTTATATAGTTTACCAAGGTAGAAAACACCAAAGAGGAAGACGAAATCGAAGGGACACTGAACTTCAGCAATGATGACCACAAATAAGAAAAATTGACATAAATTTTTGAAGTGTTATCGGAATACAAAACTAGTGAGGTGGTTTTCCGGGGATATCCTAACCCTGTTTTTAAAAATAACTTTTTCCGAGGCAAATAAATGAAGGCAAGACAACAACAACAACAAGAAGTCACGTTCGAGCTCCAAGCGGACATCGTGGTGTAACGATAGAACCGTAGTCGCTGTGTACATGTTTTTGGTTCGCATGGCTCAAATAAAAGTATGCTTATCTCTGCTTCGCTAAAAGATGAAATTTCTGGTAGTCTAGTGCTGTGAAATCTAATAATTGTTTCTAAACCAGCTAAATGGTTAATTAATCCTACTACGCATTAAACCATTACTACTTTAGGCATGGTGTTTAAAAGGAATAAAAATGACCGGAAGTAAAGCACCAGGGAGATCGTTTGTTAGCACTCCCGGATTCCGCAATAGGCCATATTCACATTCTCGGTATTGGACTGGAACTAGCTTGGAATGGAGGCTCGCGCGGCGGAATATCATTAAAAAGAAATGAATTTAATTTCCATTTGAAAAGCTACCCTGTATTAACCTCAGTTGCAAGCTAGTTCCAGTCTAATACCGAGGATACAAATATGGTCTATTCAGAATTCTTATATCATTAGTAAGCTTGAAAAATTGAAACCGCCTGTATCGCCCGGCTATTAGCAATGTCCTATTATTTCTTTTTTTTAACAAAAAAGACGTTAGATTATGTTCTCCAGTGTACGAATCAATAAAGTTCTTTCGGACGGAGAGAAAATATTTTTTCCGTTAAATGTAATCAACATTTAGTATCATAAGTACTGTCTAATATATTTAAAGCTTATTCCTATAAGTGTAATTAACCTAAAAATTTGCCGTCAAATCTTGCGGCAGCTTGTTTCTTTTCCTTACCAGCTTTCTGCATCTATCTAACCCGCCATATACAACTTATTTCTTTATTTTATTTAACTGAGAATTGAGATACAAGAACTGAGCAAGCACAGGAAAGAATATGAGAAAAAAACAAAAGATGAAATGGCATTGTACGAGAAATAATTAAGATCCTCCCTGAATTTACGTGCGAGCAAACAGTCATGTGCTAATTATATTTGAACCTCAGCAGTTGTTTTTCAAACTTGTCAGGTGCAGTGTCAACCATCATAAAAACAGTGGGACAATGTGATAAATCATATTTATGCAGGGCAAATATAACCTGGACTTACGCAAGAACCATATTTGCATATCTACATAAAGGCATCTCCGTTACATTTTGGCACAAAAAATTATGAACCAGCTAATGTAAAGTGAAAGTTATGACGTGGTATATATTGAAAATAATTATGTTTCTTTCTTATTGACGTCAGTTCCATAATAGATTCACTTTAATTTTTTCAAAGCTATTGTCCCCTAGTAAGAATTTTCCTCGCGAGCAAATTTTTCTCCTTTTCGTTGAATTGTCAGCTTGATGTATTTTTTGTACAAGAATTACTAGCTTAGAAATGTTTAGAATTGGAGGTGAATAAAGGTACAACTCCTGGCTCACTGAGTGTACTTTGACAGTACTGAGCTAGATGAATCTAACACCACTACATGTTTCGCTATAAGGTATCACCGATATTGCATTGCCTTAATTGTGTCCATTTTTTTTTTATTGTGTTGTTAGAATCCAACAACGACATAACGGTATAGTTTGGGAACCTAACCTCGACAGACGACTAAAATAAGTGTAGAATAGCGCTCAGTGTGCTACGAACTAACGAGCTGTCATTAATCGCTTTCTTTTTTGTCAGTTATCGTACCACGCTACGAGAAACGAGAACCTTCAGCGAAATAATTCCGTACGACCAATCAAAGTGGTTCATTTAGTCACGTGGCGAACAGGTGCTTGAACAACGCAAAGCAATTGAATTATAATACAGACGTATTGATATGATTTTTTTTTTTGGTAGTCGCACAGAATATTATTTTCTTCTCAGTTTTTTCTAGCTGTTCAAACTGTCCGCGACTCTAAAGTTTTTGTGATTTTTGTGTTCTGTTTTTTACGACCACAGCTCTCTAAGGACCGGTCTTTAAATGCCGAGCGAGGCCTGGATTCTTAACCGCAGTACACGTGTGAGGTAGGTAAAATAAACTACATTTCAGATTATTTTTAAGAGCCCGTAATTTGCATTTCGATCTTTCTCGCCAAGTTTGTTGTAAATAAATTTAACATCTGAGACATCAGAGCTGGCACGTTTCGCATTAACCAAGGCCAAATTAAGGTTCATTGTTGACTACAGTGAATGGATAAGCCAATATGTTCATTCGGTGACAACAGCTCGGCGTTGGTCGACGGTGCGCGGTGAAGGGTTTTTGTCGTATTTTAACCGGCAATTGAGGTAAATTCAGGCATATTTTGATGTCTTCTCTGGGATAATGAAAGGCGGACCGTCACATTTCATGCTAATTTCGACTTCTCTTCTTTGGTTTGTTTTTTCAGGAGCCAATCGAAGTCTTCTCTACTAATTTTAACCAACGACACTTCTTTTGGAATTATGTGTTTTGTCTGAACTTTGGCTCGTGTGCCGCCGTCGGGTTTTGGTGTCTATGCGCGCGTGTATCGAATGAGCTCAAGACGCGTGATTTAAACCAGTTGCCGTCACTGAAGTTTACATTTTATAGAATAAGCGTGGTTTCCTAGGCTACCCAATACAGAGCCACTTACTGAGTGAAATCGTACAGCTCAATACAGTTCTTGCCTAGTTGCCAGCCGGTAAAAGCTGATCTTCTCTTACCTTACCAGTCCGCGAGGTCGATATCATGGCATGTACATCGCCGGTATCTAACCTTCCGTGCTGTTAAATGTAATATTTTCAGCGACCTGTCTGGACATGGGTGGATTTCAACGAAGTACATGCTTGACAACAAATGCTAAAGGTGAAACCTCAACCGATCTTCAAAATAAAGACAATCAACTTCATGGCCGGCGGGTCGCGCTAAAATCCCGCATTGTCATCGCTTGCAACTGATATTTTGCTTTCCGTGGTCTCACCAGAAAGGATTATCCGCTTTTACGAGACCGAGCTGACGAGTTATGCAAGGCGAAGAAAAACTTAACGCTGAGGTTTCTCGCGAAGATGACGCCGAAAAAATACGTAGCAATCCAAGTTTGGTGGTAGAGTGTAAACTTAACAGAGGCACAGAGCCTCGCTATGGAAATGAAATTGGAAACATCGAAGGAAAACATAATGTCTTTCAAGATTTTATGCCTGTTGCTTTCTTTTTTCTTCACCGCGAAAAGCGGCCTCGGAAGTGGTTCATTCGCCTTATTACATGGCCATATCCTTTTAAGCTTTAAAATAATTACTTTTATATTTATAGGTCTTGCTGTTATTTCGTGAATACGATGATGAAAAGGTTGCGTTGTCTTTTTCGGACTGAATTATACATATTTTTTCAAGTTCAAATTTTCTAGTCGATCCGGTTTTTTAAATCTAGAAATTTGTTACGAAAAAAATCGCAAGGTTTCTGGCGTGAGTTGAAATTTTACATAAATTTAAAATTTTGATGTTTCTTTTTCGGTTGTAATGTAAAATAACAGACAATCTGGGTTTCATAATTTTTTCGATATCATTTTTTGTATTTTATTTCTATAGCACGCAGACCTTTTTTTTTCAACTCTTGTGTGCAAAGTGTGTTATTGACTTTTCTTTGAAGGATTTTCGCAGTAGCTATAAATAACCATTCATATATACCGGTTCTGTACTGAATAACACAGTCAGTCCTAATTTCACGCAGCCTAGTGATTATATATTTTTGACACTTTTCCATATTGAATTTTTAATACCTTTAAAAGCAGCAAAAAGTCTTTCTCCGTTCTACTAAACCGAGGACGGGCTATCAATTCAATTTGTCCACTCAAATGTGGGTTAACGATTCCAACCTCAAAACGAGTCGGTCCCCACTTGGCAAATATAACAAATGACAGAAAATTGCTTCATCCCGCACGTTCTTGCATCAGAACATAAGCAAAACTGACAGTCATTTGGCTGTTTTTTTTTTCTTGATAACAAGGAAATGAATTTCTGAATTGCCTCTTCAAATCAAAATTTTTCAACCAGTTGTATATTTTACGTGTTACGTCATTTCATCGCGGTCGAATCTGTTTTACTTACGTACAGTACTCTATTACAGTAGTATTATTTTATCATTTGTGGCTCTCTGTTACCGCTAAAATCGTGAATTATTTGGTTTTTCTTGGGGCACGTAATGCTATCACAGAGCTGTGGATTTTCACTCGTCCAAGTATATATTTAAATCATATGCCCACGATTGAAAGCCAATTGTGAATAATTATTTAGAGCAGCGTCTCTCAATCTCTTCGCGTGATGAAATTAAATATGAAAACAATTTTTTTAAATGGAAAGAAACGTTTAACAATGGTCAGATCGAATCTTATAGATGCGGTGACCTATCCGAGAATGAATCAAAAGCTTGATATTATAATTATGTAATTAAAACGTGCTGCAGAAGGTGCTTCGATTAAAAAAAAAAAAAACGCAAAGAGAGGTGGAATACGCGTAAGTCGTATTATAGAAGTTATTTATCTTTTCATTCTACGTGGCAACTTTGATTTTTACGAAGTATCATTGTGTTAAAAATGAACTGTAAGTGCACGATTGCGTGCATATGGACGCGCTTTTTTTCGTTATCTGTCCTCGGAAGGAAACCGATTCTAAAAGTGATTGTAAAGTCACATTAGGCAAATGTCACTGGTCAAAAGAGCAAGCTTTCATTGATGTAAGGACGCTCTTAGCGGCTTCTTTGTTAACGGAACTGAAAAACAAAAAATCTGAAGTTTATTATTCCATTTCATTGATGATTGCGGCGGTGAATTTAATACCAATGTGTTAAATCAATAGGAATTACCGAGACGTATATCGAATTACTCAACTTCGTTGTTTTTACAAGGGGTATATTTGCGCAGGCTCGTTAGTAAGTTGTTAAAATTTTTGGGCAACTCAATAGTCCATCAAGAGCCTCTGTTCTCAGTGGCTCTTCCGGAGGCGCGCTTGGTTGCAATATCAAGTTTCTTTACAATCAAGTTTGGTTTGTGTATCATGGTTTGGACGGGCAAATTTCCTTGAAATTACCGCAGCACAGACCGGCAATATGAGACCACCGAATTGCATACGATTTCACTGAAGACTACAATTTGGTAGCGATAACGAGACATTCTACTTTCGAACTTTCAAGCCCTGTTTATACTTATATCATTTCCAAAAAATTAAGTCACGCAACATGACATTGTGACGACCAGGCAAGCTCAGTGAGTGTGAATTTTTAAATTAAACTATATGACACTCCCCTCCCACAGGGTTTTAAATCAGAAATTTTGCACCCAAGATAATTTACAGCTTTGTTTCTGGGAAATCAACAAGGTTAAGAAAATGATTTAAATCGTGTACACTCGAACTTGCTTTTTCAAGCACACTAAGAAATTTTTCGATGAAAATAAAGAAAATTAAAATAGTCCAATTCTTATATTTCACCAGACTCGGGTATATTTATGAAATGTCGAAGTCTAAGCCAAATGTCAGAGAATCATTGAGGTATTTGAATAAGGTCTTTTTAACGACTATGAAAGACAGCTTGTTGTCAAATTATGCTGGTGTCAATTAATGCGAACATTTCATTGACAATTTGGCTCATTTCACTTTGTTTTTGGCCAATTCGTTAATTGAAATTTGCTTTCATTCTTCTTCTCCGAGTGAGATATTTGCCTACCGCATGTCGAACAAGTAAATTGTCAAAGTATACTTGAGAGGCAGTAATTACAACCTTAAACTCGTTTGTAAAATAACATTTTTCGTTACGCCCAAGGTTTCTCTCACTCTATTATCTGCTCTTCCCTTTAGTAACCGCATCCTTATTTTTTCTTTTGTTTTATAAAACGCCTAAATAACCGAACAACTTTCTCACCACTGAACTTATTTGAAGTCTGTGCTAACAGTCCTTACAGTAATTTCGAGAATCTTCCCTTTGTTTTGTTAAAATTCATATGTTGCGTTAATTAAACCAGACTTTCTTCCATTCTCATTTACAAAATAAATATTTATCTTAACCCCGCGTAGTAATAATTCAAATGGTAAATATTTCATAGGGCTTCAGATAATTGTCGCGATAATGTTTAATTATAGTCCAGGGGGTTATATCAATATTTCAGCTTCTATTGAATGTATACGTTTTACTATTAAATTTTTCCTTTTAAATTTCTGTAGTTTGTTTGCTATATAAAACTTTGGAGACTTTCTACTCTTGGGAAATAATTTCAATGTAAAGTTACTTGGAGATGTAAAAGCTTCTTTAAGCACACGTAATTGCAAGTGTATTTTTCCACTATTTTCTCGTTCTCCTGTAAATTACCGCCGTCACGCAAAGAATCGGAAAAGACTTGTCTGACTCTTTTTGGCCTGCCGTGGGCTTTAAAGCCTTCGACTATATTTCCTTAATACTATTCAATTACTTTGAGCGTTTAAGTATTCTAGTAATACTTGTAAACTGTGTCACATTGGGACTTTACGATCCGTTTGATCCAGAGTGTAAAACACAAAGATGTCAGACGCTGGACGCCATGGAAAAAGTCATCTACACGTTCTTCTTGGCGGAAATGCTGTGCAAATGGATAGCCATGGGTCTGTTTGGAAAGCTCGCTTATTTTGCCGAGTCCTGGAATCGCCTTGATTGCTTCATTGTGGCTGCGGGGTAAGAAAAAAATAATTTGTCGGTCGCTTCTGTCATAAAATAAAACACTTATTGTTTGAGCGGTCAATACAGAGGGTCAAGACCAAGGGGCGCATTAAATGGAAAATTAGATTTAATTATTCTTTTTCTAAAAGGTTCCCAATTCTATTAAGAACATTGAAAATCTATTTGTGGGGTTCTCTAAATGTTGATTATGATGAAGTATTGTGATAAAATGTTTTTAAATATTAAAACTCGACGCACACAAGCTCTGTGGGATCGTGGCGATAGAGATTATATAAAAATTGGCATTTCTACGTTTCAAATGACTGCCTTTTTTAAAGTTTTGCTTCTTAAACGCAATCCGAAACCAAATATTTCTTATTTCGAAAGTGTCCTTAATTTTGTTCTCCTTACTCAGTAAAAAACTTACTGGGCATCTAACAGCTACAAAAGAGAAACATTTTAGTAGTTCTGCTTGAATGAAGAACTCCAGTGGGTCGCCATTTTTGATCTGCTGATTTTCCTCGGAATGCAGACTTACAGAATTTTACAAACTCTTCGTTATTTTTGTTGTTTTTTTTAGGACGTTTGAGCTGCTGTATAACCAGGGGGAATATCTGAGTGCTGTTCGCGCTATTCGTGTACTCAGGCCACTCCGCGCCATAAACAGAGTTCCAAGTAAGTTTCTAGGTCTCACTCGGCCTTGTTAGCCGCTGGGATTACCAGCATGGTTAAAAAACAATTGATCAATAAACGAGTTGCAGTCATAATGTGTAGAACAGTTTTTAACCTAAAGTCGTAAAACCAGAAAAAATGTTATCGCTCATTATCGAAGCCTGCCTTTCGTGATAAAATGAGAAAACAAAGGGAGCCTATCAAAGTAATTTATTCGCTTTTTCTTTTTCTTGTTTTCCTCTTTTAATCTCAGGTATACGGATTCTTGTGACATTATTGTTGGACACATTGCCAATGTTGTGGAATGTCTTGGCTATCTGTTTCTTCATCTTTGCTATCTTTGGTATTGTCGCTGTTCAGTTATGGCGAGGGGCGCTTAGAGGAAGATGCTTCCTTGAACTACCGGCGAACGTCTCCCGAGATAGGTGAGCGTAAAAAAAGTTATTAACCTGGGAGTGTATAACTCAAAAGGGATTAGAATCATGAAATAAATAAATAATATACAAATTATAATATTTAGAAGGGAAGCCACATCATGCAGCCTGAGTTGATTTTCATGCAGGTCCTCTATCTTGATCGAACTAGAATTTGGAGATGTTAGTCTTGTGAAGTGAGGAAAACCAGAGAACCCGAAGGAAAACCCTCCGAACAAGGCGAGAACAAACAGCTAACTTAACCCATATATGACACCGGATCGAAATCAAACCCGGGCGACACTGGTGGGAGGCGAGCGCTCTCACCACTGCGCCAACCCTGCTCCCCTAACTCTAACCCTAACCCCAGAAGGATTTTCAGTTGACCTGCACACCTTTAAAACCTCTTTTTTGATTCGGTTTTGTTAATCTGCACCTCTTTTGTTCTTAGGGCTAGGGACATTGGCTGTGTTCTTTATCTATTGTTACAGTTGACCAAGTGTAAAGAATCTTGTTAATAGTGCAGAGAAACCCAGGGTTTTAAAATGAGAAGATTTGACGCAATTCCTAACTTATTTTAATCCTAGGACATACAGGCAAATAAAGGAAGGGAAGGGTGGTTGGAATCCCTTAGATGATCATTAAAACTTATCATTTGACGCATTTTTTTTCTTCCTTTTTATCGGCTGAGAGACCACCACGTGACCTGCAAATAACTACCTACAAATAATGATCTGCTCATGCGTAATACCGTCTAAATGTGTTTTGCTGCCGGATGTTCTGCTTACACGTAATTGTAACCACGCTCTTGTGTGAAAAATGGCAGATCGCTTCCCTGAGCAGAGAGTCATTTTAAAAAGAAAACAAACTTGGAGATCGAGTGATAAAACAACTATAGAACTCGGTTATTGCAAAACATCGTGATTTGTCAGTGTCTCGCAGAACAATTATTTGTGTCCGGTACGATAATTATTTACCTTCGCCTTCGACTTTGGCCAAATAATTCATCTGCTCGCCTCAGACAAATTACAATATTTTNCCTCCCACAGGGTTTTAAATCAGAAATTTTGCACCCAAGATAATTTACAGCTTTGTTTCTGGGAAATCAACAAGGTTAAGAAAATGATTTAAATCGTGTACACTCGAACTTGCTTTTTCAAGCACACTAAGAAATTTTTCGATGAAAATAAAGAAAATTAAAATAGTCCAATTCTTATATTTCACCAGACTCGGGTATATTTATGAAATGTCGAAGTCTAAGCCAAATGTCAGAGAATCATTGAGGTATTTGAATAAGGTCTTTTTAACGACTATGAAAGACAGCTTGTTGTCAAATTATGCTGGTGTCAATTAATGCGAACATTTCATTGACAATTTGGCTCATTTCACTTTGTTTTTGGCCAATTCGTTAATTGAAATTTGCTTTCATTCTTCTTCTCCGAGTGAGATATTTGCCTACCGCATGTCGAACAAGTAAATTGTCAAAGTATACTTGAGAGGCAGTAATTACAACCTTAAACTCGTTTGTAAAATAACATTTTTCGTTACGCCCAAGGTTTCTCTCACTCTATTATCTGCTCTTCCCTTTAGTAACCGCATCCTTATTTTTTCTTTTGTTTTATAAAACGCCTAAATAACCGAACAACTTTCTCACCACTGAACTTATTTGAAGTCTGTGCTAACAGTCCTTACAGTAATTTCGAGAATCTTCCCTTTGTTTTGTTAAAATTCATATGTTGCGTTAATTAAACCAGACTTTCTTCCATTCTCATTTACAAAATAAATATTTATCTTAACCCCGCGTAGTAATAATTCAAATGGTAAATATTTCATAGGGCTTCAGATAATTGTCGCGATAATGTTTAATTATAGTCCAGGGGGTTATATCAATATTTCAGCTTCTATTGAATGTATACGTTTTACTATTAAATTTTTCCTTTTAAATTTCTGTAGTTTGTTTGCTATATAAAACTTTGGAGACTTTCTACTCTTGGGAAATAATTTCAATGTAAAGTTACTTGGAGATGTAAAAGCTTCTTTAAGCACACGTAATTGCAAGTGTATTTTTCCACTATTTTCTCGTTCTCCTGTAAATTACCGCCGTCACGCAAAGAATCGGAAAAGACTTGTCTGACTCTTTTTGGCCTGCCGTGGGCTTTAAAGCCTTCGACTATATTTCCTTAATACTATTCAATTACTTTGAGCGTTTAAGTATTCTAGTAATACTTGTAAACTGTGTCACATTGGGACTTTACGATCCGTTTGATCCAGAGTGTAAAACACAAAGATGTCAGACGCTGGACGCCATGGAAAAAGTCATCTACACGTTCTTCTTGGCGGAAATGCTGTGCAAATGGATAGCCATGGGTCTGTTTGGAAAGCTCGCTTATTTTGCCGAGTCCTGGAATCGCCTTGATTGCTTCATTGTGGCTGCGGGGTAAGAAAAAAATAATTTGTCGGTCGCTTCTGTCATAAAATAAAACACTTATTGTTTGAGCGGTCAATACAGAGGGTCAAGACCAAGGGGCGCATTAAATGGAAAATTAGATTTAATTATTCTTTTTCTAAAAGGTTCCCAATTCTATTAAGAACATTGAAAATCTATTTGTGGGGTTCTCTAAATGTTGATTATGATGAAGTATTGTGATAAAATGTTTTTAAATATTAAAACTCGACGCACACAAGCTCTGTGGGATCGTGGCGATAGAGATTATATAAAAATTGGCATTTCTACGTTTCAAATGACTGCCTTTTTTAAAGTTTTGCTTCTTAAACGCAATCCGAAACCAAATATTTCTTATTTCGAAAGTGTCCTTAATTTTGTTCTCCTTACTCAGTAAAAAACTTACTGGGCATCTAACAGCTACAAAAGAGAAACATTTTAGTAGTTCTGCTTGAATGAAGAACTCCAGTGGGTCGCCATTTTTGATCTGCTGATTTTCCTCGGAATGCAGACTTACAGAATTTTACAAACTCTTCGTTATTTTTGTTGTTTTTTTTAGGACGTTTGAGCTGCTGTATAACCAGGGGGAATATCTGAGTGCTGTTCGCGCTATTCGTGTACTCAGGCCACTCCGCGCCATAAACAGAGTTCCAAGTAAGTTTCTAGGTCTCACTCGGCCTTGTTAGCCGCTGGGATTACCAGCATGGTTAAAAAACAATTGATCAATAAACGAGTTGCAGTCATAATGTGTAGAACAGTTTTTAACCTAAAGTCGTAAAACCAGAAAAAATGTTATCGCTCATTATCGAAGCCTGCCTTTCGTGATAAAATGAGAAAACAAAGGGAGCCTATCAAAGTAATTTATTCGCTTTTTCTTTTTCTTGTTTTCCTCTTTTAATCTCAGGTATACGGATTCTTGTGACATTATTGTTGGACACATTGCCAATGTTGTGGAATGTCTTGGCTATCTGTTTCTTCATCTTTGCTATCTTTGGTATTGTCGCTGTTCAGTTATGGCGAGGGGCGCTTAGAGGAAGATGCTTCCTTGAACTACCGGCGAACGTCTCCCGAGATAGGTGAGCGTAAAAAAAGTTATTAACCTGGGAGTGTATAACTCAAAAGGGATTAGAATCATGAAATAAATAAATAATATACAAATTATAATATTTAGAAGGGAAGCCACATCATGCAGCCTGAGTTGATTTTCATGCAGGTCCTCTATCTTGATCGAACTAGAATTTGGAGATGTTAGTCTTGTGAAGTGAGGAAAACCAGAGAACCCGAAGGAAAACCCTCCGAACAAGGCGAGAACAAACAGCTAACTTAACCCATATATGACACCGGATCGAAATCAAACCCGGGCGACACTGGTGGGAGGCGAGCGCTCTCACCACTGCGCCAACCCTGCTCCCCTAACTCTAACCCTAACCCCAGAAGGATTTTCAGTTGACCTGCACACCTTTAAAACCTCTTTTTTGATTCGGTTTTGTTAATCTGCACCTCTTTTGTTCTTAGGGCTAGGGACATTGGCTGTGTTCTTTATCTATTGTTACAGTTGACCAAGTGTAAAGAATCTTGTTAATAGTGCAGAGAAACCCAGGGTTTTAAAATGAGAAGATTTGACGCAATTCCTAACTTATTTTAATCCTAGGACATACAGGCAAATAAAGGAAGGGAAGGGTGGTTGGAATCCCTTAGATGATCATTAAAACTTATCATTTGACGCATTTTTTTTCTTCCTTTTTATCGGCTGAGAGACCACCACGTGACCTGCAAATAACTACCTACAAATAATGATCTGCTCATGCGTAATACCGTCTAAATGTGTTTTGCTGCCGGATGTTCTGCTTACACGTAATTGTAACCACGCTCTTGTGTGAAAAATGGCAGATCGCTTCCCTGAGCAGAGAGTCATTTTAAAAAGAAAACAAACTTGGAGATCGAGTGATAAAACAACTATAGAACTCGGTTATTGCAAAACATCGTGATTTGTCAGTGTCTCGCAGAACAATTATTTGTGTCCGGTACGATAATTATTTACCTTCGCCTTCGACTTTGGCCAAATAATTCATCTGCTCGCCTCAGACAAATTACAATATTTTTCTTAACCTCGTCCAATATTTGTTTCAAAGTTATTCTGCATTTAGTATCTAGCCCTTAGCATGGTATTTTTCGATTCCTTCGACGTCTTGTGACGTTACGCGGCGTCATTTAAACCACTCTCTCGGATCTGCGATCTTGGATTCTCAGGAAGCTAAAAAATAATGTAAATGATCGGAAATTGGATTCAAAACGTCGCAAATTCGATAATGCTGCTCAAGAAAAACGAAAATAGGGAAATTTTCTGTCGATAGGCGAAATCTGACTTCAAAAAGGGAAGAAAAAAAAAGAAGCAAGAGCGAAAATGTTTTTGATTACTTTTTAAAATTATTCAAGGGTTATAACTTTATTCAACTGGTATGACAAGGCGGTTTTCGCTTGAGTATCGTAAAGTAATTGGTTTTGTACTTAAGGCGCTACGCAATTCGCTTAAAAAACTCGCGCCACGTTTTCATGAGATCAGAAGTAAAGCCAAAACCAATCGTGACCCGATCGCACGCTTACGTTTTCCCGCGTTTTGCGTCAGCTATATGTATATACGTTGTGTTTTGATTGGTTCATTGGATTGTCTGTGTCCTTTGTGATTGGCTTGAGTGATTACTTTGGTTTGGTCATTTTAATGACACTCGATTGAAAACCGCCCTAATTTCATGACTAAATGTTGACAAGTTCATCTTGCCTTCTTCCAGTTACAACTTGACAGACTTTTACGTTCCGTCTTTTGACGAACCTGACTTTATATGTGCCATGAAGGGTATTCCAGGCATGCAAAGCTGCAACAGTGAGTCAATACCGCCCCTGAAGGATGAAATATCTGGACGAACGTGCACATTAAGCTATGAAGCATATCTAAACGAAACAAGGAGGTCAAATAATTCCAATGCTTGCGTCAACTGGAATCAATATTACAGTCAGTGCCGAAAAGAAGGCGATAACCCATCCTGGGGAGCCATTGGGTTTGATAACATTTTTATCGCCTGGGTAGCTATATTTCAGGTAAATATCAACATCTGATTTTTTGACACTGAACAGCGATAAATTAAATTTTTAAGCAGACAGGTTAAAAAATTAAAATTGTTCACTAGCGAGACTCAGATTAGAAAATATTGCCCGATGTACATTAAAATCTTCAAACTAAGGTTATAATATGCGGAACACAACAACGAAAAAATTAACCGTAGGAGAAAATAAAACGACGAGAGTTGATAAACATATAGATAATTTATTACTGCTAACAGAAGAAGTAGTAAAATAATGTTTTAAACGAGCAAGGTTCGTCTCCCTGATTAATCAAGCTTTTGAAAATCAAGGCTTACTCTAAATTTATCTGGTCCTATTATCCAAACGAGACTTTAATATACTGACAAGTTATAGAAGCTTGGTATAATATGTTAACAGGGTTGCCCAGGTAGCCCTAGATGGGTTCTGCATCAGTAATAACACACAATAAAACATGCTATGCATGAAACATCTTGTAATTTTTCGTTACTGCCTTGTGTACTCAGGTTATTACACTTGAGGGCTGGACAGATATCATGTATTATGTTCAAGACGCGCATGGCTTGTGGAACTGGATTTATTTTGTCATTCTTATCGTAGTAAGTACTCTCAGCCTGTTACTCGAAACTCGAACGTTGGATCGCAGCAGGCATGTAGTTATCCTTGATATAATGGACGATGTGTATTCAAAGTATTAGAAGGGACTTCTAAAAGCCGTCTCATAAGTCACACTATAGACATCCTATTAGTCTATCCGAGACATTCTTATACATACTGTCTAGTTATGTAACACTTTCTCGTGGTATACCATGGAATGTTCCACTTGACACTTGTATTTTTTCAGCGCGGTATACAAACTCGCCTTTTGACTACTCGACACCATGCCATAGAAAATAGAGTCGCCAACAGAATCACTGCAACGCACGATTGGAAAGTTGGGTGTAATACCGCCGAGTATACACCGGCTTCCCTGTATTCTGATTGGCTGTATTTTCTATGGTATGGTATAAATCGTAATACCCACACATGTACACCTTGTACGTGCTTCGTAACTTTCTATCGTGTTCTCAATGTGACAGCAGAATAGAAGCGTCGATTTCTTTATTATTAAATATAGACACAAGAGGCAAGGAATCACTAAGCTGTATCAAGCAAGAACCTTTAAGACTCCACCGATACAGTTCCTGTTATTATGTGAGAACATTGGACATGAGGGCCGAGGTTCATCGTCCTATATCAATAACAAAACTCTCACAACTCATAAACAAAAATGTATGGGAGATCAATGAGGAGAATTTGCAGGTTGATATCATGACTAACGATCACCTCCTTCAATTTCAGATCGCTTCGTATTTTATGACCAATTTGTGTCTAGTCGTCATTACAACGCAGTTTCAAGAAACAAAACAGCGAGAAAATGAACTCCTACGCGCGAGCCGCCGTCGAGAGGGCGCAAGCACGAGTACAATAGCAAGCAGCCGGTATGGAAAAGATGGCTGCTGGGTGGAAATACTTAAGTACATTGAGCACTTAATAAGGAGGTTTAAACGCAGAATCCATAGACGATTTAACTGGAAATA